CTTTAAGGACACGACCCAGAAACTGTACATGTTAGTTCCTCTGAAATCTTATTAGCCAGGAAATGCTCCAGTGGCCACACCCAGATGAGAGGGAGTCTGGGATCTGTAGTCTTTAGTTGAGCGGCTCCGTGCCTGACTAATAATGCTACAGAAGAGGAGAACAGATTTAAGGAGATAATTGGTGTCTTCTGGGGTGACATGGCTGTATGTATTTCAGTGTCACTTGCATGATAGTACTAAGGATTAGTATCTGAAGGGCGATCCATCAGGTTTAGTGATGTTTTTCTTTTGGAAACATTGAGCTTAGAGAGAGGAAGTTGAGTGAGTAAAGATGATGGCTCGGCAAGGCGAGGGGTCTGTTTCCAAGCCTGACAGCCTGAGTTCAATCCCCAGGACCCGTGTGGTGAAGAGAGAACTGACCTGCACAAGGTGACCTCTTACCTCTGTACATGGCTGTGCCGTGCACGTCAGTGCTTAAACACTAAAAAAATTAACTACTTCAGTAAGTGGATGTAAATAATTCCAAATTAAAGAAGAACCATTTATTTTATTTTATGTGTATGAATGCTTTGCCTGCATGTTTGTGTTGAACCATGGGAGTGCCTGATACCAGAGGTCAGAAGAGGGGGTCAGATCTTTTGGAACTGGAGTTGTGAAGGGTTGTGGCCCACTGTGTGGGTGCTGGGATTTGAACCTAGGTACTTTGCAGGAGCAGCAAATATGTTTAGCCACTGGTTCATCTTTCCAGCCCCCTCCCCTCCTGCTCCTTTTTTAAAAAAAAAGGTTGGTGTAGTTATTTTTTTTTATTGTGATAAAACACCATGACCAAAGGCAACTTATGAAAGAAAGAGTTTAAATGTGCTTACAGTTCCAGGGGTTTAAAGTCCACAATGGCAGAGTGAAGGCATGCCGGCAGGAACAGCTGAGAGCTCACAGCTTAAGCTGTAAGCAGGAGGCAGAGAGCACACTGGGAATAGCACCAATCTTTTGGAAACATGGAGCCTGCCCTTAGTGGCACCCCTCCTCCAACAGTGCCACAGTTCCTAATCCTTCCTAAACAGCCGGAGGCCAGGTGTTCAGCTGTATGAGTCTATGAAAGTCATCCTCCTTCAAACCCCCACTGTGGATGACCTTAGACTGCACAGTGTCAGAGCCCCAGACCTTGGACTCATTTTCTGCCAGTGTGTGTGTTTGTGTGCGCGCGTGCACTCGCTCACCCATGTGGGCACTAGCTGTGGAAACCAGAGTAGAACCTTGACTGCTGATCGTCAATTGTCACCCACCTTGGTTTTTTCTTTGTTTGGTTTTGTTTAGAGACTGTCTCTCCCACTAGTCCACAACTCACCAGGCAGGCTGGGTCGGTTTGCCAGTGAGTCTAAGGATCCACCTTTCTTCACCTCCCCAGTCCTGGGACTTCAAGCAAATACCACCACCACACCTGGTATTCCCTCCGAGTTCTGATGATCAGACTCAGTTCCTCCTGCTTTTGAGGCCTTGGTCTTTCATATGCTGTCGTATCAAGGAGATCTGCTTGAGAGGCAGCAGACGGGGCTGAGATGAAGCTCACCTTTCCTAGCCTTACCTGGAGAGCTGCTTCAGGTCCTCAGGACACACTTGGAGGCTATGATGGCTCTCAGATGCTACCCAGCAGCCCTCACGGAATCTTAAAGTGGGTTGTAGCGAAAGGCGTGTCGCCTTCTGTATTGAGTCTGCTATTTGAGAAGGTACACACAGTTATCTTTGCGCCCAGGGCCTCCGCTACAGGTATTCCATGTGCTATTAAAGGAATTGTCCAATGCATAGATGAATCTACATATATAAGGATTCCAGCCGGGCGGTGGTGGCGCACACCTTTAATCCCAGCACTTGGGAGGCAGAGGCAGGCGGATTTCTGAGTTCGAGGCCAGCCTGGTCTACAGAGTGAGTTCCAGGACAGCCAGGACTACACAGAGAAACCCTGTCTCGAAAAACCAAAATTAAAAAAAAAAAAAAAAAGGATTCCTTTGGTTGCACACAACAGAAACTTAGCTGGACCTGGATTAGGGGGGGAAGATTGGTCCATCTATATTAGCATCTTGCTTCTGGCATATCTGGATCCAGGAACTTAGCTGATATTTCTAAAGCCCCACAACTCTCTCATCTTTGTCCCCGTTATGAGAGGTTTGGAAGTGTGGGGTAGACTGTGGGGATGGAGGGGGGTTGGCTCTGTAGTTAAGAACGTGTGTTGCTCTTGTAGGCAACCTCAGGTTCTCTTCCCAGCACTCACACGGTGGCCCACAGCTGTCTGCAACTCCCACTTGAGGAGATCTGACACCCTCTTCTAGACCCTGGACACCTGCACTTCCTTGTTCACGTATGCACACTTGTCCAGACCCACACACAGCAACACATAATCAAAAACAAAGAGATCAGGTTGGAGAGATGGTTCTGCAGTTAAGGGTACTGGCTGCTTTTGCAGCAGATCGCAGTCCAGCCTCCAGCACCTACATGGCCGTGCACAACCATGAGTTTCATGGGATCTGATATCCTTCTAATAATAATGATAAAATCTTTATAAAAGGGATGATGCTATTGTTTATGGTGGGGGGTAGAATCCCTATTGAGTACCTTCAGGTCCAGGGCATCTTGGCTCAGACCCTATTGGCAGTCAGGTTTGCTGTTTTTACTGTTTGGGGTAATGAGTCTTGGGTGATGTCTTGGGAGTGTCCTTGGGTCCTAAATCTTCTGGGATTGATTGAATATGCTTGCAGTAGCTTCAACGTGAGAGTGGCTAGCTCTTCTCTGTAATCTTTTGGGGGGTGGGGGTGGGGACTCCCTGGAGTTTCTAGGCTGAATTACAAGGATCGGCTTCCTGAGACCAGAATGGAGTAAAAGAATCAGAGGGAACAAAGTTAGGTCCACTCTGGACCTTCTGGAGTGAGGAACAGCTAGATGCTCTGGGAACCTCAACTACCCTGACCAGGAGAGGGACTCCTTGATCCCACTTGTTCAACAGACCTTCACAAGTGATCGTACGGGTAAAGCCCAGTAGCAGGAAATAGCTTAAAGCACGAGAAGGCTTTGTTTTTTCTTCTTTCGAGACAGGGTTTCTCTTTATAGCCCGGGCTGTCCTGGAACTCACTCTGTAGACCAGCCTGGCCTCGAACTCAGAAATCCACCTGCCTCTGCCTCCCAAGTGCTGAGATTAAAGGCGTGTGCCACCACTGCCTGGCTATGAGAAGGCATCCTAAAAGGAGCTTTGAGTGTCAGGTAGAGGTATGTAGGTCTTCTGTAACTACCGGGGAGCTGTGGGAGATTCTTAAGCAGGGGAGGATGTGAGCCGATTCCTGCCTTAGGTCTCAAGAGAAGGCACCTGAGAAAACGAGTTTGGTTGGGGTGACATGTGGAGTCAGTGAAGAGGGCTCAGGTGGCCTTAGATGGCAGTGCCAGGCAGCAGAGTGGAAGGGGTGGAAGATCTGGGGCCCAAGAAACACTGACAGACTCAGTGTTTGTTTCTGTTTTTGAGACAGGTGTCTCTTGTAGTCCAGGCTGGCCTTGCACTCACTCACTATGTAGCTAAGGATGACTCTGACCTCCTGGTCTTCATGCCTCTATCTGGAGGTGCTGAGATTACCGGCATGTACCACCACACCTGTTTTAAGAGGGGCTCAGAGGTAGAACCAGGAGCTTCGTACTTGCTGTGCCAGCACTCCACCAGCTGGGTCACATCCCAGTTCCCAGGCTTTGCTTCTGTCTAGGGGTAAAAGAGGACAGAAGACTTAGAAGCTGGCAGCTCTGTAGCTTTAGCTTCCTGTGGCACATAGCCAGCAGTACAGGCAGCTGCCTGCTAGGTTTTCCTGCAGGCTGACGGTGCCCTTGTTAGGCAGGAAGTGGAGTCCCTAAGGATGCCACGATGAATTGGAACTGCTGACTCAGCACCCAGACAGCGAAGCTTTGAGGCCACCAGACTTTGGACAGGAAGCATCTGGAAAGGAAGTGGCTGCCCTGGGCTTCCCCATAGTGAAGCATGGACAGCCAGGGAAGTGGGTGGCTGGCCAGGATGCAGGGTTTGGCTGAGGGACTCCCTCTGTGCAGCTGCCTGACATGGGGTGGGGGTGGAGGGGAGGTGTTTTATAGGGTGGAAAGGCTGTCCCTGGGTACCTGAGGCTAGACCAAATGCTTGGCTGTAGGCAGCATTTGCTCCATCTGAGGTAAGAGTGCCCCAGGATTGGGCTCTTTGCAGCTCTTGTGTTTGGGTTTGTTTATGTTTATGTATTTGTTTGTTTGTTTCTCCTGCTAAATGTGACCAAGGCATACAAGAGACACTCTGGAGGTGGTCATGAGGATATAAGTGTTTATATTCTTGCTAATTACTGTTAGGTGGGACGGATGGACGAGGGCCACATGACTTGAGCAGGTAACAGCGAGAGACACAAGAAGCAGCGGCAGCCTGCCTCAGGCAGGCACCTGCAAGCTAAACCTTTGGAAGTCTGGAACCCTCCCACCCCGACTCCCGGGGTCAGGCTTGGTCTGTTGTAACAGAGACCTGACACTGACACTGACACCAGCCGTGCGCCTGGCCTCTTTCTTCTCTGCTGGGCCTTGGTTGTTTGGTACACGCATATTAAACTAGCAGATGTCTCTCCCAAACTCCACATCCTTACATTTCTGCTGCTCCTACAACTCCGCCCTGGGGTTTCTGCACACACGCTCCTCACCTAACGTGCGCTATATTAAATGCTCCACATTTCCTGCCCCAGGAACCAGGCCTCAGAACCAAGTGTCCTGACTGTTGCCTTCTCGTGTCCTACGCTCTCAGATGCTGCCATTCTGATCTATACCTACCTGCTTTATCCTCTGGCTTCTTCCATTTACCCTGAAGATGCTACCAAAGTATCCCTGACGATGCTGTTTCTTTAACCCAGAACCCTCAGTGGCTCCTGGCTACCTTTAGGGTTGAGTAAACTTTTCAAGTTGAACCCCAAGTCTGTCTAAAGCCTACCCCTTTACTCTCCCATCAGCCAAAGTGACCTGGGCACAGCCTGGACACCGAGCTCATCAGCCTTGTCTGGGCTGGCTGCCTAGCCTCTTCCCACTTAGATTTGGAAGGTCCTGAGGACTTTGAAGGAACTTTGAGACAAAGGCCCCTCTTCCTCTTCCACAGGCAGGAGCAGCCATCCGCCACGGAGAGCCCAGCTGTCAGCTGTCTCCCAGGAAGATGCTTCGAGGATGGGTTGGCCCCGGTGTGGGTGTGTGTATGTGTACTGCGCTCGGAGTGCTGTGCCTCTGCCTCACAGGTGAGGGGAGGGGTCCTGGTCATGGTGGTGTGTGGGGATATCCGCCTACTCCTTCCTGGGCTCCAGCCAGGCTGCCTCTGTCTTGAAGAAGCATACTGATGTCCATCTTTGGGCTCCACAAGCAACCAAGTTCCTTTAAAAAAAAGCTACCTTAGCCTCTACTTTTTCTTCTGTAAAATGGGACTTGAGCACTCTGTGCTATGATAATGCAAGTCCCTGAACACACTGTGTGAACTCTCCTCAGGATCTCTGCCCAGAACTTTCTGTTCTCAGACAGAGGCATGATTCCACTCTTTTATTTTGTTGCAGACTTTTGCTCAAATAACAGCTCCTCAGATGCTTTTGTGACACTTTGTATAAAACAGCATAGCACTCTTCCTCAGTCTCTCTTTGTCACCCACCCCCTGCTTTGTTACATTCTTTCTAGAATTTACCTCCACTTGACATATGCTTCCTTTGCTTGTTGCCTGTTGTCATCCTGCTCAGAAGGCAAGGTCTAACCTTGGGCACTGTTGGATGCTTGCAGTGTATGCTCAATCACCACGATAAACAAATGAAGGTACTTCCCACCTAGTGCTAGGCTAAGTAAATGCCCTGTTTAGGTAGTCCTCTACCCTATGGAGACAACAAAGACGAGTGTCTGGTGCCATCTAGTGGTCACCATAGACATCACCGTCTGTACTTGTGGTTTTTCTGACGCGCGTGTGTGTATGTGTGTATGTGTGTATGTGTGTGTGTGTGTGTGTGTGTTTTCTCACTGTGTGTCCCTGGCTGTCTTTGAACTCACTATGTAGACAGGCAGGCCTCAAACTCACAGAGATCCACCTATCTCTGCCTCCCAAGTGCTGGGATAAAAGGTGTATGCCACCACACCTGGCCTGTTTTTAACTTCTTCAGAAAGGACTTTGGGTGACTAAGTTCCATGTCCTAGATGTCCCCTATAAGGGGACATGTAGGTCTAATTGGCAAGGATGAAAACTGGCCTGAATGTCCATGGGATTGCTAAAAGATATCCAGGGCCAGCTTCTACCTCCAGACATTACATACTAAGAAAGGGTATGTGTAGAATTCACAGTAAAAAGAATAATAGCAAAACAAATACAATTTCTCTAAGCCTTCTATGGGTGCTGTATTCAGCTGGCTTCATTTGAAGACTGTGCTGGAAAGCTTATAGGATAGAAGGCACAGGAGCCAACAGAGGAGCCTGTTCCAGGGCCCATTTTTCTTATAACGTATAAAAGGAAGCATTTCCTTTGGGGACTTGCCTGACAGTGTCAGAGGGTGAGTCCATGACCATTATGGTGGAGAATGTGATGGCAGGCAGGCAGGCAGCAGGCAGGCAGCAGGCAGGCAGGAGGCAGGCAGGCAGGCAGGCAGCAGGCAGGCAGCAGGCAGGCAGCAGGCAGGCAGGCAGGCAGGCAGGCAGCAGGCAGGCAGGCAGGCAGCAGGCAGGCAGGCAGGCAGGCAGCAGGCAGGCAGGCAGGCAGGCAGGCATAGCACTGGAGCAGTAGCTGAGAGATTACATCTGATTCACAAGCACAAAACAGAGAGGATAGCACAAGCTTTTGAAACCTCAAAGCCCACCCTAGTTACACCACACCTCCTCTAACAAGGCCACACCTCCTAATCCTTCCCAAACAGTTCCGTCAGCTGGGGACCAAACATTTAAACATATGAGCCTCTGGGAGCCACATTTTCATTCAAACCACCACATATTCCTTCCTTCTCACCCTCCATCAACCAGCAAACATTGATAATTCTCCAGACTGCATCTCAGATCAGGCTGGTTCTCTCAATCTCTATGGCTGTTCTTCACTCCAGGGCCTAGAACTTGCTATATTGTCCAGACTGGCTTCCAATTTTTGGAGATCTTGCTGCCTCTGCCTCCTGAGTGCTTAGCCTCTAGCTGACTTGTGCTAACAGCCTTACATGTCTTTTCCACTGTTGTATCACCATCACTTCTTACGACGCCCTCTGAGCTGGTCTCCTGACTACCCTCTCACCATTCTACAATATATCTCCCTCTATAGATGAGCCAGGGTGAGCTTCAGGCTTTGCTACCCAGATTGCATCTAATAATCAGTGCCCTCCATAATGACATCCTCTCGAAGGTGGGAAACCCCAGGTTTCTTCCAGCATCTCTCAAAGCCCTGGCCAGCCTCCAGTAGGTTTTCCCATTGGGTTACCTTCCCGTGTGCTCTTTCTGGCCTGCATCTCAGGGCCTTTGTACCTGCTGGTCCCTCTCCTTGGCACACACTTACATGGGCTCTGTGTTTCATAGAGCATCTGCCTCACACCTTATTTAAAGACATGGGCATTCTTTCTTGCCTAGAAGTTAAGTATGTTTATTCATGAAGAGAAGAAAGGGAACCCATGAAGTTCTCTCACCCGAAGGAAATCACTAAGAACAGTGGTGTTTACTTTTTGCAGGCACCCTTCCTGTACACATAGTATGTGTTTGTAGGAAAATGCGAAGGACCTGCAAAGTGGAGAGTACCTGCCAGGCTTGGAAGCTGCCTCTTTGCTGAGTCCCTGGCTTCTTTGGCTCTTTCTTTCTCTTTTTCTTTTATAAGTATTTCCTCTTTCTTCTTCTCCACTCCCTGCTTCCCATTTTTTGGAACAGAGTAGATCCAAAGCTGGGCAATGCTATAACACTGACACACACACACACACACACACACACACACACACACACACACACGAGTCTAATTACAAGCTGATGAAATCTGTGTCCATCACAAACTGCCTCTGTCTTCCTTTCTAATGTAAGTGAGCTCTAGGGTGTGACCCAGGTCTTGGTCCTTGTTGCGTTTCTAATTCATGTTGGCACATAGCTGCTCACAGTGAGGAGCATAGATAGGAACTGACTCTGAGCCTCAGACCTAAAAGGACGTGTGTGCAGGGCCTAGAGGTATCTGGAAAAGGATAGAGACCCTGAGAAACCCCATCTTTCCTAACTGCTCTGCCTCTTCTGACTCACCCCCAGGAGCTGTGGAGGTCCAGGTCTCTGAAGACCCTGTGGTGGCCCTGGTGGACACGGATGCCACCCTACGCTGCTCCTTTTCCCCAGAGCCTGGCTTCAGTCTGGCACAGCTCAACCTCATCTGGCAGCTGACAGACACCAAACAGCTGGTGCACAGCTTCACTGAGGGCCGGGACCAAGGCAGTGCTTATGCCAACCGCACGGCGCTCTTCCCTGACTTGTTGGTGCAGGGCAACGCATCCTTGAGGCTGCAGCGAGTCCGAGTAACCGACGAGGGCAGCTACACCTGCTTCGTGAGCATCCAGGACTTTGACAGCGCTGCTGTTAGCCTGCAGGTGGCCGGTGAGTGTGGAGAGGGGCACTCTCCGCTTCCACTCTTCATCCTTCTGCAAGTGGCCTCTTACACACTGCTGCACCACAGACTCCTGCACCACATCTCCCGCGCTAACAGCCTCGTCCGGCTTCCAGTGTCTCCTGCACTGATGCTGCTGGTGATCCCTGCCCTCTGCCACCCTCTAGCCTTCTACTCAAAAAGCCCAGCATGACTCCAGAGCCCAACAACCTGGGGACCAGGTGACATCCTATGCTCCAGCTCCCAGGGCTGCCCCGAGGTTTCGGTGTGCTGGCAGGGCTCACCAGACTGGCCTTGTGACCAAGGAGCAGGGCTTGTTTGATGTGCACAGGATGCTTACGGTGGCACAGGATGCTAACGGCACCTACAGATGCCTGGTACTCAACTTGGTGTTACAGTAAGATCGTCACAATCCACAGAAGCCCCACAGGCTTTTACTTTTTGGTTTTAAGTGTCACCTTAAAGGGGAAGTTATAGTTCTATCAATTACACTGGAAGTTAAAGGAAGTTAGTTCCTTATCTTCAGTCTCCAAACAAGTGAGATGCTTGACTATGATAGGATGGTGGGGCAGGGCACTCCAGGTAGTGACGAGTCACTGATCGGGGGCCTTCTTGACTCCCCAGACTCCAGTGCTGTAGAAATCTCCTGGAAGGATGGAGATGCATCTGGGTCAGCAGGTCACGGACATGAGACAGAAAGGAGTTCTGCTGGGGAAGGTGTTTGTTCTTGTGGGACTCTCAACGATCCTATTCCCCCAAGTTTGGATCCCAGGGATGGCTTTTGTCAGACAAGACTAGCCTGCTGTGAAAGATCAAGATAGGAGACTTAGTCTGTCTCGAGGGAATGAGAAGGAAGAAGGCCTGGGTTTTGATGAGGCTTCAGAATGGCTGCAGAGGCCCTATCTCTTCTTAATGCGTTGTCTCTAGGATTCTGACCCAAGAGACATGGAGGTCCAGGTCTCTGAAGACCCTGTGGTGGCCCTGGTGGGCAGTGACACCACCCTATGCTACTCCTCCCTTGAGCCTGGCTTCCCTGGCACAGTTTGACCTCATCTGGCAACTAATAGCCACCAAATAGCTGGCGTGCGGCTTCCCCTGGGGCTGGGTCCAGGGAAGGCCTATCCCAGCAGCACGGCATTGTTCCCTGACCTGCTGGCATTGGGCATTGTGTTCTTGAGGGTTCAGTGCATGTATGTAGCTGATGAGGACAGCTTCCCCTGCTTTGTGGGAATCGGGGACTTTTGCAATGCTGCTACCAGCCTGCAGGTGGCAGCTGAATCCCAGGCAGGAACATGTCCCCCCACCTCGTTCAGTCTGCATGCAGCCCACCCCTTCCCACTGCTGATACCACCATCAAAAAAAAAAAAAAAAAGCCCCAGAGCTGACTATTGACTCAGCCTCTTGTGTCTTGTGTTCCTACCCTGGGTCCCCTGTGCTGACTGTCATCACTCTCTGCCCTCCAGCCCCCTACTCGAAGCCCAGCATGACCCTGGAGCCCAACAAGGACCTGCGTCCAGGGAACATGGTGACCATCACATGCTCCAGTTATCAGGGCTATCCCGAGGCTGAGGTGTTCTGGAAGGATGGACAGGGGTTGCCCTTGACTGACAACGTGACCACATCCCAGATGGCCAACGAGCGGGGCTTGTTCGATGTTCACAGCGTGCTGAGGGTGGTGTTGGGTGCTAACGGCACCTACAGCTGCCTGGTACGAAACCCGGTGTTGCAGCAAGATGCTCACGGCTCAGTCACCATCACAGGTAAGGGGAGATGGCCAGCTGAGGAAAAGCTGAGGAAGCAGCTACCGCTCTTCTAGACCCTAAACTGGAATATCATTGTATTCCAAAGCCTCCCCTTAAAGAGAAGTCTTTAAGGGACTTGTTTCCTTGAGCTGATACATTGTAACATTTGCTTTCCATGGTACTTGTGCCCACAAAGTACCTTCCTGGAATCTAGAGGGGTGGGTGGAGTTCTGGGGCAGACACAGGCTTGCTTAGAGACACGCTGTTTGAGGATGTCTTTCCAGTGGGCACTTCTTTGCTATGAAAAAAAAAAAAACTTGCATTGTCCAACTCTGAAGCTCCAGAAGACTTTGGCGCCTCGAAGGTGGAACTCACCTGGATGAAGTGCAGCCCTTCCTGCAGTCTAGGGTACCACAGTGAGATTAGATTAGCCAGGGTTGTCTCTACTGCCCCCATGTGGTCAAATGGTAGATTGAGACTCACATTGGGGGAGTCACTTAATCTCTGGTTCCCAGGTCAGCACTAGTCCAGGTAGACACCTTCAGTGCTTGGGGGTGTAAAGAGGGTTCAAGTTCACCTTCATGCCAAGGTAGACAGTCACCTTCTGTGTTTGGCCTTGACATGTCTCTGTTCAGTTCTTTGGTAGGTCTGTGTGCTAGGTCTAGCTCTCCAGTTCCTCTCTCTGGGCTGTGTGAGCTTTCCCAGGGACCTCCTACATCTCTGAGATCAGGGTGTCTGTCACTGGTCCTTGTCCTTCCCCATAACTTCTTCCTGGAACCCCCAGCCACCCAGCTTTCTACTTCCAATGGTTGCCAGTGTCTGTGTAAACCTTAGGCGGCACTGCAGCTCCTCTCGCCTGCTGACATGCTGGTCCTTCTGTGGGTTTCTATCCAGACAAACTCAGAGCCAGTGCCCATCATTCACATTTGTCTTCCAGGGGTAAGTCTTAGTCCTCCTACTCTTTAAGGCATCACCCATGACTCCCCAAGACTGAGCCTACCTTCCCTTGTAGAGAGCCAGTGTGTGTATCCTCTAAGGGAGTCCCTTCCTCAGCCCTCTCATGTTTTGAGGTACCACCATGATCTTACAGAGAACACCATAGGAAAGCCATGTCTCACTGAGATTGGAGAGATAGCTCAGTGATTAAAAAGATTTGCTGTTCTGTCACTGAAGACCAGAGTTTACATTCAAGCACCTATATATCATGTGGCTTGCAGAAATAAATAAATAAATAAATAAATAAATAACACCTATAATTCCAAATTCCAACCCCAAGGGATCAGATGTTCTTTTCTGGCCTCTGTGGGTACCCTCACATGCATGTGTGAACACACACACACACACACACACACACACACATATTCTTTCTCTTAAAAAACCACACAGGTTGTTTGTTTTGTTTTATGTTTTGTTTGTACAAGAAAGACCAAGGAGTCTGGAGTGACATGTAGGATGGAGAGAAGTGTGGAGGTTATCAGGAAGAACAGAGGACTCACAGCCAGCCTGCATGAGGTGGGCTGGGATATCTGTAGTATGCTCACTGTGAAGCAAGGGTTTGAATTTGGAAAGAACAATTGCCTGGCTTCTGACAACATTGCCTCAGTAGCTAGCCCTGACTGAGAGGACTAGCACCATTCAGACAAGAGACGGAGGCCCTGGGAAAAGGGACTTTCCCAAGACCACAGACCAGCACAGTGGCTCCAAAGGTTTTGGGAGCTAGGCCCTGCTTTGAAAACTGACAAATACTAAAAGAAATGGTTTGTCCGAAGCTTGGAGGGTTCCCAGCTTCTCTAAACTCCATCTGAGCATCCTTGTGCTGCATTCTGCAGCGAGCAGATGAACCAGGATCTGGATCCAGCATTGGCCTCTTAGCCCAGTTTCTCTCCTCCCCGCCGGCTGGCCTCCTGTTTCATTAGAGCAGAGCTGGCTTACCTTGAAGCCCTTGGCCTGCATTTGGCTTCAGGCAGCTCTGCCTTGTACAGCATTCTGGGATTTCGCTGCTCAGTCCTCTGCCTGGTCTCCCTCCACCTGATGGAGGGATGGGGTCAGTGATGTTGAGTGTGCTATGCCAGTTATCTCTGGAAGAGAGGGCTTTCTAGAGCAAACACTGGAGATGTAGGTCTGAGCCCCAGCCGACTGTGTCCTTGGCCAGGAGAATGAAGGAAGTCTGACCACGCTTTAGGCACAGTGTCAGGACGAACTTTGCCTTTGAGTATTTCAGTTTTTTTATTAGCTTAAATTATTTATATATCAGAGAGATTATATTTCATATATGTATACGATGCATTCTGATCATGCACACCCCTAATGGCCTTTCATGTCCCCTTTCATTCCTGCTGATCCCCTTCCTCTGAACTAGTCTCCTCCTAACTTTATTCGTTTAAAACCTTATTGTGTGTGTGTATTTGTGTGTG